CCCCCGCCCCCCCGCCACTCTCCACAAAGCTGTTCATCTTTGTCTATCCCAGTCGTGCAATCAAAGCCCTTTGCCCAAATGCAAACGCCGACCCTCATAATCTGTTGAGTCACTTGTTTGACGGTCGTCATGGTGATGATGGTGCTGACTCGACGCCAGATCCGATTTGCACGAGCCTTGGGTTCTCTGCTTTTGTGGTGTGACGAATGCAAAGTAATCCTCACTAAAATGGTTTCCCGTGTCTGTGTGGACGCCTCAATGGTGCTCTTTTGTTCATTCTGGGGGCGCAATCATTGTTTCGCAAGGACGGTGGTCCCATTCAATCACATCCCCCCCCCGTGCACACATGCCAGCACCGGCTGTCTTTGGCATGTGCATTGTGTCGGGGTGTCATTTCTGCACATCGTGGTGTTGGCAGCTCGATTGTTTCGGCAGCAGAGTGCATGCGCTGCATTCGGGGAAGGTGTACTGTTCACTCTGTCCACGAGGGGGCACTCTCGCGACACCTCTGTCGCATCTGGTCACTGTCCAGCTCCCCTGGCAGGTGAGCGCTGAGATGACGTCACTTTTTGTACCAGGTATGAGACCTGCATCAGTTTGAGCATTTCATCTGTTGAGAAAAGAAAAGAAAATTAACGGGAGAGAGCCCATTTCCACTTATTTCCACCTCCTCTAGCATCGCTCAGTTTTGTTTGCCGTTATTTATATGGTGTGAAGTAACAAGCGCATGTTGGGAACATTTTATTTTGTTTTGCATAAAAGCAGCAAATGCACACGGAAAAAAAAGAAACTTCTGAAATGAATCTTTATATACCAAAAAAAATGTTCAAATAATCATACACACACGCTAAACAATAGATGTGATGGACTACAAATAATTCAAATACTGTCCCGTCATAAAACTTAAGGTTTTGTTCTCGGCCGTATGGTTTGAAAATAACAAAAGCTAAGCAAAACTCACACACCTGCTCTGAAGGCAAATTCAAACGATCTGAATTTGAAAAACAAAAGTTGAAACGAAATAAAAAGGGACGAAAAGGAAAAATGGAGAATTGCGCTAAACCCTGTGTCATTGAAACCATGTTGATGCTCCGCCTCCTTTTGGACTAAATTCGCAGAAGCCAAGGCCAAAGCAGAAGATATTCATCTTTCAGAAATTTCATGCTTGTGGGGCTTCAGGTTTGATTTTATTTTATTTTTTGCTAAGGTGGGCTACTCGTGCGGTGCCCTCGTTTGTCTGATTCTGTGAAGCAGCAAGTCACCCAGCCTCTTGTCGCCGCCGGCGTCCTTCTTCCGGCATGGCCGACGTCTTTCCGGTTTGCGCCACGTGACGGCTCGGCGCGGCTGTGGCGACGTCCTTCTCTCTCTCTCTCTCTCCTTCCGCGTCTCTCCTGTTAGGTCCAAAAGGGGTGGAGCCGGCAGTAACTCCAAGTTACCTCTCTTATCTCCTCAGAGCTGTTGTCTATGCCGCCAGTAAAGAGATTTTCTGTGTCGTTTGCCAGGCATCCGACTAACGGTATGTCTGCCTTTTTTCTCTTGCTCTTTTTCTTTTTCTACACTTTTTTTTTTTAGGAGGTGTTGCATGTGATTTTTTTTTTTTTGGGTGGGGGTGAAAAGTGGTGTCACTCTCTCCCGAGATTGTTGCATTTTTCCTCGCTCACCCTTGAAAATCAAAATCACTTGTCACCATATGTAATTTTTAAAAAATTTCTCAGCGCCATTTGTGCTGCGCACGAAGCACACTCTTGAAAATTGTGGAACTCCTTCACAAAATCAGGCTGCTTTTTTCCCCCCAATGAACCACAGTTAGGACTTCTGGAAGCTTCTTTTGTTCTTGTTTTTTTTTTTTTTTTAATTTCCTCGTAATAGCAGAACAAGATGAAGAGGATGCGGTGAGTGTTGGGTATCACTCTGGATGAATCATCACTTTCTATTTGTAAAAGTGTCAGGTTTTTTTTTTCTTCTCGACGTCTGCTCGTCGGTCAGCCCGTCTTCGGCGAGCTCTCTAGCGCCACCGCTGGACAAAGAGAGTTGCAAAGCGTCTCCTCTGCAAAGAGAAATAATTCCATGTGGTCATTAAAAAATACAATTGTCCTAGCAGCTGTTATTGCAAAGTGAGGTCAAGGAGTTTTGAGACGCTTGGTCAGCGCGTGAATGTTGAATTGCGAGTAACTCGTTCATTCATCCTGCGCTAATGTTGGAGAACGGCATATTCTGTGTGGACTTGTTCATGTAGGTTGATGTGCTGTATCAACGTTTGGTGTTCAGCAGTTTTGTGCCGTCCTTGAGTGGTCATTTATTTATTTATTTATTTATTTTGCAAGGGAACCCTTTGCGCCGAGAAAAAAAAAATATCCCAGTAGTTCTGTTTTGCTGCATTAGCTGGACGCCCGCCAATTTTCGAATCTTGTCTTCACTTTTTCTATATTGTGTCCATAATGTCATTCATTTACCGTTCACGTTATGATCATTTTTTTTGTGCCGTGAGGTCATAAGCGAAGCAAATGAGCCTTCAAAAAAAATGTTGACGTCAGCTCATAATATATCGTCATCTGCTCATGTTGCAGGCATATTTTGAGTCTTAACAAAAACAGCGCTGATGTCAACTCTCCCTCCGTGTGACACGGACTTACTCATCAGGCACATCTTGCTGACTCGTTTTTGCCGCCGTGGGCAAACGACAGTGGAACCTCTCAAGGCAGAATTCAAACAAACAAACAAATGAGCGTGTGTAGAAGTAGTGGTGGCTTCAAAGAATTCGAATTGGGGGGAACAGGTTGTCTGACTTTAGAGGTCCGCGTGTACGCCTCCCCACAACATGCTTGGAGAAGTCAGAGCTCATCGTGTTACTCCTCCACTTGATTTATTCTCCCCCGCCCCCTTCCACCTCTTTTAGGTTTCGAAGGCTGCTCGATGGTGCCCTCTATCTACCCGCTGGAGACGCTGCACAACTTGCTCTCGCTGAAGCAGGTGGACGAGTTCCTCAACGCCGTGTGCGAGAGCAGCAGCGAGGCCCACGCCAAGACCATGAAGGGTACCGCCGCAAACGCCAGCCGTGCGTGCATACAATTATTTGGGGATTTGGGAGGAGGTCCCCACAACTCGCACAGTTAGGACAGTGTGCGGAAAATCCACGAATCGTCAATTATATGTCAGCGCTGATAATTTTATGGATATATTTTGTTTCAAATTTCGTGCTGCTTCTCAATTGAATGTACGTACGCAACGCCAGCAGGCGTTTTCATGCTGTTGTGTGCCGCAGCGCTGTCGGGACTCTTCGACTCTCAGAGCCAGGCGTCGTCGCCCTACGGCCCCCAACAGCCGCTCTCGTCTTCGGGCTCCGAGGCGTCGCTGCGACCGCCCAGCCGGCCGCTTTGGCGTGAGTATCTTGCCGTTGCCTTTGCCGTCTTCACTTCCATGTCTGACTTTGGTCCCTACGCTGCCACGGAAATGCATCGCAGTTGTCACAAAGTATGATTAATCGATAGACGGATCACACTGGTCAATAAACTTTTACTATATATATATATATATATGTGTGTATATATATATATGTATAGATTTTTTTTTTTTATTAATCAGAGATGCAAGGACATTTTCTTTGTGGATGAATACCTGATCAAATGACACTAATGACAAGCAATATGGTAATAACGCAGTAATAACTTATCATACCATGTAACAGGAAATATGTAATGCCCGTATGTACATGAAGCGACTGCTCAAAGCAAATAAAAGCAAGACATGGAAAAGCACACTTATAGCATGGCGGTACCTACTAACAGGTGATGGCATGTTATGTTTGTAATGTATGGTCATATTTCAGAATCCGAAAAGCTTTTCATTAATCACAGATCATTTTTAATAGTCGGTAATATGGCAACGTTATAATGTGGTACTACTATGCAACAACCGCGATAACGTTCAAGTAATGGGTGGGTATGATGTGTTATAAATTGGCAATGACTGTGATTATATTGTAATAACATGGTAATGATGCATCATCATGACAATATTGTAATAACACATTTATTCTTTTGTGTTTCTGATTTTGTTTTTTTAAAGATGGCAGTGTCCCCTCCAGTGCTGTGTCCAGCGCTGGCCCCTCTTCCCCCATCACGGAGAACTCTGCCCTCAACTTCAGCGAGTAAACCCAAGCACACACACACACACACACACACACACACACACACACACACACACACACACACACACACACACACACACACACACACACACACACACACACACACACCTTCTTGTTGAATGCACTTTATGCTCACTCCCTATTTGTTTAGTTGACTGGAGCAATTAGCCTGCACCCAGTACTGGACTATAAACCCCTGTGGACTGCAAATATGTCGTATTTGAACGCCTGGCGTGCCTTTGGCTTCCGCTGCTGTGTTTTGATTTTTAGCAGCGACGATTTTGAGCAGGAAAGTTTCAACTTTGTTTTTGGAAGTATTAGCGCCAACGTTAGAACCGTTGAAATAATTTCACACAAATTGCTGTATGATTTGGGTTTGCTGTTCTAATAGTTTTGGTTTGGCGTCCAAACCGACCGCCTTTATTTTGCCGCGTGGGTGTCGAAGATGACGGCGGACGTTGAGTTTTCCCACACATCGAATTTGCTTGCAATCCTGTGGCTCAATTTTGGATCAGCGCTTGATGTGACGCTTTGTACGCGCTGTCGCTAATGCTGCACATTTGACCCGCCCCCACAACTTCCCGTCAAATTTGCGGAGCAAAACCGAACAACCAAAGTTCCTGCACACGCTTGAGGTGGGCTTGATTTGCGGGGCCCATCTCCGGAGCTCCTTGCGGATGCGACGTTTGTCACCGCTTTCATGTTTTCATGTCTTTGTCTCCGAAGAGAAGGCCGCCAAAGTGCAACCGAACCAAAATAAGCAAATAAAACCACTCAAGCACAAATTTCAAGTTCCGTCTTTTGTTTTGGCCGCACGACGACAGTTTGTGCGCGTTTCGGTACCACCACCCAAATATCTCGGACTTGAGCCAATCGTGATGAGCGCTGCCTAGCAACAGATGACAAGCCAAAGTTGGGACAGAAATGGCCTCTTCCTCTTCCTCATCCTGTCACCTCCTTCATTCGTCTCCAGGCTTTCTTATCTCCTCTTCTGGCCTCCTTGCCTCCTCCCCCCCTCGTCCTTTCATCTCCTCCTCACTCGGTCGCCATCTGACCGCCTCCTTTTCTGGCTTTGTTGTCTCATCCCGCTCGTCTCCCTTTTTCTTCTCGTTTTTTGTCTTCTCATGTCCTTGTTTCCTTTCCTTGCGCCCTTGTTTTTTTTCTCGCTCTCCTCACTTGCTCGCTTTTGTGCCTTTTTCCTGGCATCGCCCTGTTTCCTCTCCTCATCTTTTCCTTGTGTCCTTGTGCCCTTTGTCATGTCCTTGTCTTTCCTTTCCTCTTCACCTCCTCGTCCTCTCACGTCTTCATTTTCTCCCCTCACCTCCTTTTTATTCTCATCTCCTTGCTTCCTTGTTTCCTCGCCTCACTTCCTTGTCTCCGGAGCTCCTCGTTTCTCATCTTGTTTGCTGCGGTCTTCAATTCCTGGTTTTCTCATTAAATTCTTTTTTTTTTTTTTTAATCCTCTTCCTCTTTTCACCTTGCCCCCCCCCTGGCATGTCCTCCACCCCCCCTTCAGAAAGTCTTTGAAGAAAAGTGATGAGTCATGCCTGCTCTTATTGCTGCTGTACGTTGCCATGGTGACACCCTCAGATGTAATTGACTTTCTGAGAGCGCCCCCCCCCCCTTCTCTAGCTTTGATATCCTTCGAGATACAGTGCTTGAATACACTATTTGGTGCACCCTCTGAAGCGGTTCCTTTCCAAATAGTTGTATGTACTGCTTGTATTGGTTCTTGTTCCTGTTAAGCTTGTGTTGTACGAGACTGCATCAACATTGAAAAGATATCAAATCATTTGCAATAAAATGTTGTTCATTCATAACCAAGCACTTAGAAAACTTTTTTTTTTTTTTTTTGGGTGCAACCGGGGCAAGTCGACATACATACTCAGAATATTATGGAGGGGAGGCGGCGTGGGGGGGGGGGGGCTTGCAAGAATGGAAATTGGAATTTGACAAGAAAATTATGTTTCTCAATGATAAAGCAATGAAGTCAAAGTCAGTTTTTGAAGGGAAGGTTTAAAATATATTTCAAGGAGCAAGTATAAGAACAAATTCATGATGTGGGATTTCTTGTGTGAATGAATGAACACCCCCCCACCCCCCCAAAAAAAAACATCTTATTTGAAGATGAAGGTTGAAACATAATCGATTTATTTGCCAATTTGATGAGCTGTTGCGTCATGGCCTCTAATTTAAAGCAAAGACAATGAGAAGCGATGAAGAACTGGATCGCTTGGCAGTATTGACGATGGAATTGGACTCACTACGTTCTCATCGATTACCAATCCCTAATTTTTAATGTTTGCGATTTTGGTTGGTCGTACAAACTAAAAAACACACACACACACACAGAGTGGAGTTGAGTGTACTTTATTTGTTGATCACCGGGCTGTTTCCCTTTTACGATGAATGCGTGTGCAGCACTTCTACTTGACCAGAGAGAGACAGCGAGAGTTGAAACAGTTGCGCCAGAGGAGGAGGACAATGTTGCTATACGTTTCCAGAAAGAGAGAGAGAGAGAGAGCGAGAGCGTCAAACATAAGTTAGCGCTGTACAGCATCTTGATCACGACAGAAACAAACAGAAGCACAGCCGAAATCGGCGTTCGGACTTTAGCGTTAGCGCTACTCCCGTGTTCAACAATTACATTCAGGGTTAGGACCGAATAAGTCACATGCAAGAGGATTACATGATGTTCTCTTGGCGGCTTGGAATCACTGTCGAAGCAAAATGTTACGTTCACAGATATGTACAGTGTGTGTGTGTGTGTGTGTGTGTGTGTGTGTGTGTGTGTGTGTGTGTTGTGTGTGTGTGTGTGTGTGTGTGTGTGTGTGAGAGAGATAGAGAGAGAGCAAGCGCGTTACATTCGTGTTGTGTTTGACCGTTTGGATGTTTTCTTATCCAAGTCATAATCTGGAGAAGGTCGCAGCCGAGGCCGGCCGTCATTGGTTCTGTTGAGGAGTTGCCATGCCTGTGTTGCCGTGTCAATCCACCTCTGAGTGGTTTGTGCGTTTTTACATTCACCAAAATACGTTTTTGCGTCTCACAGCGTTCTACCGTTGCCGAGAAAGTTTCCGTCTTCTGACTTGTAGTAGCGTATGCTTATTAAAAGCAAGTTTCCCGAGCTCGCTCAAACGCGCCACAAGCGCAGCCTGCCGATGCTACGTTCCAAAAAACTGTTAAGTTGGACACTTTTGAACAGCGACCAGCACACATGCGAGTGGATCAGTCGCTAACTTTCATTTTATACAATTTGTATTCATTCAAAAGCCCGTTTTGAAACCCGTTGATTAAACTACCTGTAGGCATTGATTAATTGGTGTACGTATCTTGAATCTCTGTCCGAAATTATTTCATGCGAAATAAGTTTCAATGAAAGGGTGCCAAAATTGTTGGGGGAAAAAATAAAACTGTTAGTCATGACCAGAAAAAAAAAAAGAGTCAAAATGTTAAATGTAAGATCACACCCAGGTTTGAAGAAAAACAAGTTATTCTTCTTCTTCGAGAATAAAGTTTCAATGTTATGAGGGTAAAATTGAAACGTTAGCGAAAAGTCGTAATGCGCCGAGAAACGTGTAATACGAGAGCAGTGTGGAGAAAAGCTGTAATGTCACAAGAATTAAATCGTCGCTTTACTGAAACAAGGGCGTGATCTTACGAGAAAAAGTTGCGACAATGAGGTGTTAGTGATATGCGACGTATGAAAAAAAAAAGCCATATATTATGATGTAATGTTATGAAAAGAAAGTTTAATATGGCGGAAAAGTTGTAAATTTATGAAAATAACGTTTATCATGACCAGAAACGGAAGAAAAATCAAAGTGTCCATTTTATCTGTATTGTGTTCCATTTTTGGATTTCGCTGTTGTAACCGTTTTTTGTTTTTTTTGTCGTCTGTTTGCAATTGTCGCTTTGAGTGTGATATTGTTACCCTATTAGCATAAATGCCCAAATTATTTTGAACTTTATATTAACAAATCAATCAAAAGTACCAACGTACTAGCTAAAAATTCAGTTTTTCCTCTTTTCCGTTTGAACACGGCTTCTGCAACTCCGCTATTAGGCGAACCATTTGCTACTTGCCACTTTTCTGCAATGCATCGTACGCGTTGGTGGAAGGTACAATCGGATTCACGTTCAATGAGCCCAAAACGACAAAAGCAATTATTGCTTAGAAGACTCCAAGCAGAATTATTTGCAAATTTATAGCGCGATAAAAGCTAAATCAATCGCTGTCAACATTGCCAGCTACCCGCCTCAAAGCATGCAATATTTGGAAAAAAAACAAAAGATCACATTCCTGCGAGCGTCGCCGCCGTCATTCATTCATGCTCATTTATAAATAGTTGTTATGCTCAATATTTACATATTACAACGTGTGTTTGCGGTCGTTGAGGTCATCTCTGTGCTTCAATACAAACAACTAAACCCCACCCATTTCCTTCTCGGGGCGGGGGTGGAAAAAGTGCATTCTGGTTTGGTACAAAGACATTCCTTTTCATTTTCATATCCAACGCGAGCCATGAACTTGACTGACGGACTTTTTGAATTTCATGTTTGGTCTCGTCCTTGAGCTTTGTTGGAAAACAAACAAGATTCTGTTTGCTACATGAGTGTGTTGTCGACGTTGCCGATGTCATGTCGAGAAACATTCGAGAAGGTTGTTCATGTTAGTGCGGAAACATCCGTCACTTTGTTCGCAACTGCCGCACAGTAAAAAGGAAAAGAAATTATTTTTTAAATCTCATAAAAGATAGGATTTTTTTTTATAAAGTAGCAGAGAGTTAATTATTATTATAAATATATTTTTTAAATCTAAATGTAAAAAGAATATTATGTTTTATACTCTTCTATGAAAATAGAAATAAAATTTAAATTAATTTTTTGAAATTATTCCAAAGCAGCATAGGGAAAACAAGCATTGACATCCCACCCCCTCCCTACCTCCCCAAATTAAAAAAAATTAAATAATAATAATTAAATTAATAAAAAGCAGCAGTGAGACAATTAGGGCTGGAACGTCCATCATGAGCGACACCCGCACAATTATTGTGGCTTGCGAACGCAAAACACACGTGATCAGGGTTCTGAAATTATCATTAATGAGGTATCATAATTGGGTCAATGATTAGGGACAGCTCTGAGTCTTTTTTTTTGTGTGTGTGTGGCCTTAATATGTCTCTAAATTTGACTCATGATATAATAGGAAGCTGGGAAAGAAGAAAATCCAAATTAATGAAAATATATAGAGTGTGTGTGTGTGTGTGTGTGTGTGTGTGTTCGCGCGTGTGTGTGTGTGTGTGTGTGTGTGTGTGTGTGTGTGTGTGTGTGTG